ATAAATTATTGAATGAATCGATTTGGTTCAAATATTCTTTGACCAGTCATTTCATGATTGCAGTGTGTGTATATTTTTCCAATAGAATTTCTCTTGAGAATTTGAATCAAATTAATTGATTTCAATTGAAAATTAATGTTTGTTTTTTTTGGTTACCTGGAATTATGTTTGAAATTTTACCAATTTTTTTTCATGGTTTTTTTCTTTGGGTAGTTATCCGGTAGAAAGAAAAGATCCGATTTCCAACAGCAAACAAGCGAAAACAGCAGACTTTAGTCAATGTTTATCATTGAATCTAAATTATCCTTTCGGGCATTTAATAATCGAAAGTTTGAAGAAACGAAAAACAGATAAAAACATTATGAGAATAACCGACTATCGACTATTCAATATAAATGATGATGATGATACCCGTAAAATTTGGGTAGATATAGAGAGAGAATATTGATCCAGGAAAGGTGCTACCCAAAAGAAAAAAAGATTGTTTCAAAACAAAAAATGAAGAAACCGATATAAACAAAAATGATACAAAACAACATTGATAAATGACATGAAAATGGATTCTTTCAGTCGAAAATTTTGAGTTTTTTCATAGTTTAGTTAGCCTGTCGTCAATTTTTCTGTTGATCGTAAACACACACCGTATATTAAGAAGAAATAAATCTTTCCAGAACATTTTTTCTTCGAGGAAAAAGGAAAAAAAAATGTTTGGTAAAAATGATGATAATGATGATGATGATGATAATGATAAAGTAAACCTTTTGTAAATGAGTAAAAAAAAAAAAAATTTAATGATTTTTTTTCTTTTTGGGCTTTTCCCAGCCAAAATATCTTTATCAAAACAAAATATTGGTGAAAACCAACAACAACAACAACAACAACATTAATGAAATGAATTGCAGTTTTTAACACCCACCCACCTTCAATGGATATTTTTTTTCTTTGCTTGGGTATTTTTTATTAATAAACGGGATATTATATAAGGGTGTTTTGCGTTTCTCTGTGTCTCTGTGTGTCTGTGTGTAATATTCCATAAATCAATATTAATTTTTGCTTTTTTTGGAGGTTGGATGAACGGAATTTTTTTTCTGCTATCATCTTTATAATAATTTTTCATAGTGTCATTATCGTTGTTGTTGTTGTTGTTGTTTTCGTTGCTTAACACAAACTGAAAATACATATTTCAACGTTGGGAAAATAAACGAAATGATATGAAAATCTATCTGAAATTTCACTATTTAATTAACCAAAAAAAAAATATGGTTTTTGGTTCGGTTGAAGCTTGTTTGTTTGTTTTTTTCAAACATTTTTACTGAATCAATCAATAAAGCAGAAAATTTTCTTTTAAAAAATTGGGAAATTTCCCGGGAAAAAAAACAGCAACAGATTTCAAATTTTTTTTTACTAAAATTTTTATCACAGAATTATCTCTGGGTACCAAATGTTTTTTTTCTGTCCATTTCTCATTTGACATTTATATTTTCAACATTTTATTTTTCTATATTGATTTTACTTTTCTTGGAAATTTCTTCTAGAATCAAACTGTCTTTGTGTAGAAAATGAATAAGATTTTTGTTGGATCAATTTAGAATATCATTCATTGAATGTGTGTGTGACCCGTGTGTGTTTGTTTGTTTGTTCCTGTTTATACAACAACATCATATAAATGGCAGGAAGAAAAGAATTTTTCTGTTTGTATGTTTGAATTGAATCCAAATGAAAAGAAGAAAGAAAGAAAACTAAAGAAGAAAATCAGACGTTTAGCAAATATGACAATGATGATAAGAAAATGAAGAAGAAGAAGAAATCAGAAGAAAGGAAACAAACAACCAAATGAATTGAATTGTGAATTGAATGGTTGAATGAATTGAAATGCAACCACATAAACGGAAAAATAAATACGAAAAAATTTCTTATGAAAATCACATTGTCAACAGCGACAAAGTTTGATTCTTTATGTGTGTTTTATATATTCATTCATTCATTCTCTCTCTCTCTCTCTCTCTCTCTCTCTCTCTCTCTCTCTCCCCGGTATAGTCAGATTTTATTTTTCCTTTCAAATATTTCGAAAAGCGAAAAAAATCGCCAAGAAAACAGATAGAGAGAGAGAGAGAGAGAGAGAGAGAGAGAGAGAGAGAAAATGGACAGGAAAAAAAAATTATTGGTGAAAAGAATCCAGAAGTTAAACCAGTATTCATTTTTTTTTTGCCAAAGAAAAATAAATTCGTGTGTGTGTGTGTTTGGTGTATTCAAGTTGTCACTTTAAAGTAACTTTGATTTTTTCTTTCTTTCTTTCTTTCTCTATCTGTTTCTTACCACAATCTTTTTTCTGATTTTCTCTACTAATAATAATCATTCATATCCAAAAAAACGCCAGAAAGAAAAAAGAAAAGCTGCAAATATTTGAATAGTGGAATCTTTTGTCGACGTTTTTTCAGTGTTCAGTGCAAATCAAGAAATTCAAATGAAAACCAAAGTGAGAAAACGTTCAAATCACGTAATCAGTGAGAGAAAAAAATGAATAACTTGGAATCAAAAGAAAAAGAGAAAAATGAAATGAAAGCAAATGAAGAAATTGATTATGGCCATCCGGACGATGATTCAGAAAAAATTAGATTTTCTTGTCGTGTGATTCATTCTTGGGAAATTTACAGAATGCACAGAATACACATACACAGAATACACATTATCATTTTGCTTCAACATATCACTTTTTCTGTCATCTGGTTTTTTTTTTGGCAATCTTATGTAAAACTCTTTAACACTTGGTGTGTTTGTGTGTGTGTTTGGTGTGTGTGTGCGAGAAAAACAATTTTCATTTCAAAGGGAAAAAAAATTTGAAATTGAAAATTGCCAGTTGAAAAGATGATGATTTTGATGATGATGATGATGGTGACAATTAACACCCACACACACACACAGAGGGAGAAACATAATGAGTAACATGATGAAATTGATAGATTTGATGTTGGAAATAATTAGAATTTTCTTCCAATTTCGAAATCAAATTTTGATTTCAAATCGAATAAAATCAATCAATCAAATTTTTTTTTTTGATTTGAAAATGAATGAACACCGCCAAAACAAACCAACCAAAACCAACCAACCGACCAAAACAAGCTAATTTTTTTGCAGGGGGAAAAACAAAATATTTTTACCGTTTTGCTTACGGGTGAATAAATCTGCTGAAATTGCTAAATATATTAAATTGATATCAATAACATTCTTTTCATAATAATCATCAGCAGCAGCAATCGAAATACAAGATGGCCAATCATCATCGTCTTTTTTTCATTTTTTCAAATATAATTTTATTGTTTTTTCGCTTCTGCAAAACATGAAAAACAGAAATGCTGACGGCAATTTTCGCATCCATGATTCTAATGATGAATGAATGAATCTTGGTTTGGTCAATTCTTGGTTGGTCAATTTTGGTTTGTTTGTTTGTTTGTTTTCTACATTGTTTTGCTCTATTCAACCAGAAAACAAAACAAAATTAACAAAATTCCATGAACTGTTCATTGTTTATTTTGTTTTGTTTTTCACTTTTTACATTGTGGAATTTGTATGCCAATCATCAACACGCACGCACACAAAAAGGGGTAAAATTCAATTTGCTCAAACTAATTCACTTCAACAATCTAACAATATATCTAAATATCATTATTATTCAATTCGATTGATATGATTGTTTTTGGTTTGTTTGGGTAAGGTTATCCAAAATCAATATTGATTTGGTTTGCTGTTTGGTTTGTTTTTGGTTGATTTCATTGAAAAAAGCAAAAAAAAAAATTCGCAATTCGCAATTCATTTGTCAGCAATAAAAGTTTTTCTCTTGTAAAACATTCAATACCTGAATCTTCAAACGTAAGTTTTTTCTCTCTCTTTTTTCACTTTGCTGGTTTGTTTGGTATTATTGAATGAAAAAAAATTCAATCAATAACAATCATTGATCGGTGTTAAGGGATAGATCAAAAAAAAGAAAAAAAATTCTAGGAATCATCAGCAACATGGATCGAAATAGAATTATATATTTATAATATGAAAACAGAAAAAAATCCACCATACGTAAGCAAAATTTGGAGAAAAAAAACGATCAAAATTGGAAAAAAAATAGATGAAATGTTGTTGAACAATCGTATTACAGTAAGTTTGAAAGTTTGAGAAAAGAAAATGACGACAACAACAACAAAACAACAAAACCTGTCAAGTATTTTTTTCAATGATTTTTTTCCATTCATTCATTCATCTTTTCTTCTTCACTATCCACTTATTCGGGATTTGATTCAAAAAAAAAAACCGAACAACAACAACAACAAATATTTCAAGTGGGGGAGGGAGAGAGAGAGAGATAGAGAGAGAGAAAGCATCAATAAATGTATCGATTGATTTCAGTTTCTCTTGATAAAATAATTGATTATCGTCCAAAAAAAAAAAATATTGATATATTATGTGTGTAGGTGTGTGTATAAGGTGGTAGGAAACGATCAGATTCGAATTGACCTTTTTTTTTGAATCTACAAAACATTCACACAAACCGATTGATAATTGAAATCATTATTATATCATGTTTGTCGTCATAGAATCGAATCATTTTATCATATTTCATTTTTTGGAAATAAAAATTCCAACATCATTTTCATCTTTTGCTTTGGGGAAAAAAAAGACTTTCAGTGGGAGAAAAAAGACTTTCTGTGCGGGGGAAAAAACTTTCAGTGTGGGGAAAAAAAAGACATTTTTCGTTTCTTTACCACAAGAAATTCAATCATTTATTATAATGATCCAATGTAATCTTTGGTTTCAGTAACGATAGACAAGAAAACCAAAAACCAAAACCGAAAAAGATATTCTTTTTTCTTTTTTATCGAAGATATGTCTGACTATTTTATCATAACTTTCTTTTTTTTTGTAAAACAAAAAAAAAACTAACAATTCAAATGTAGTAATCAATTTTGTTTCAATTTTCTTCTTTTTCTTTTTCTTCTTTTTTCCATTTTTAGGTCAAAATAGTACACATTGTGGACCAATAAATAAAGATCGTGGTATACAACGTTTAGAAGCAATGTTATTTGCAATAGATAAAATAAATCGTGATCATACATTATTAACAAATATAAAATTAGGTGCAATCATATTAGATACTTGTTCTTCCGATACATATGCATTAAATCAATCATTAGAATTTATACGTGCATCAATTAATACGGTTGAAGCATCAGCATTTGAATGTATTGATGGTTTAACACCGACACCTAAATATGATTGGAAACATATTAGTGGTGTTGTTGGTGGTTCATATAGTGAGGTAATGTATATTTATTTAATTTACTTTAAAATATGAAACAAACAAACAAACAAACAAACAGAAAAACTTAAAATTCCAATAAATCATTTGCATACACTTCAATGATTTTATGAAAAATATGGAAAATTTCATTTTTTTACAAAGGAAAATGTCAACGACTATTTCGACAATCATATCATGATTTTTGAATGCGGTTGTTGTTGTTGTTGTTGTCATCAGACATAACATTCATCATTATAATTATCATTTGAAGAATCTTTTCTTTCTCAGTAGTGGATTTACAACAAATGAAAGTGTTTTTAAAAAACTTAACTTTTTTGTTTTTTGTTTTTTACCTCATATAATTCATCTGTTTGATGGTAAATTGGACAGCAGCAAAATGAAGAAGAATTGTAAGGAAATTAAAAGTTTTATCATCATCAGCCAAACGAAAATCTTTTCTTCGTTTGGTTGGTTGAAACTTTTTTCAAGTAATTTCTGGTTGTTGTTGACATCAAGAGCCATTTTTTTGAAAAGAAAAAAACCTCAAAAAAACGGAAGTTCAAAACTATTCGTGAAGAAAAAAAACGAAGAAAAGAAAATCTTTTCAAAAAAAATGGAGAAAAATTTTGAAAGTTGTCCAAACAACATTGATTTTCTTCTTCTTCTTCTTCTAAAAAAATTCCTTTGCCTCTCTCTTTTTCTCTAAGGTTATTTTTACAATGTTTATCATCATTATATCACACAAACCGCATCAATTTTTCTTTTCCAAATCAAATAATCAATTATAGCATAGGTAAACAGAAAAAGAAAATTTGTTTCAAAAAAAAAAAAGAAAATTTAAATATTTGATCATCGACATTTGATAACCATCAACAACGTTTTCATCATTTGAATATGAATCGAAAAATGAATGAATGAATTGAAAACAACAACAGCAACATTCGTCAAACAAAGCAAAAAATCCAATTTTTTCACCTTTTTTCCAAAACTTTTTTCTCCAAACTTTTGGTAAAATGTCAATAAATATTGGTTCTATAAATATGTTGCACTCGATTCCGAAGAAGAAAAAGGTAAAATCCCGGAGAAAAAGAGTCTTTTTTTATCATCAAAAGTCAATAATAAACACAAAAAAAAAACTGAGGAAAAAACAAAATCAATTGAAACTATTTTGGAAACAGCACAAGGAACCTGAAAAAATGGTGCTTGAATCCAATTATGTTTGTTTATGTTTGTTTTCTTTTATGAAAATTTTTGAAACTGGAAACTAAAAATATCACACACAATATCGTTATAGATAATGTATTTTTGTTGTTTGATCATTCAATGATCAAACAAACAACAGCAACAACAATGCGACAACAACAACAACAACAAAGATGTTATTGATTTGATGAATGACCGAATCAGAATTTTTTTTTTTGAATGAATGAAAAAAAATTTCACTGTTGACAGGTTTTTCGATTGAATATTGCGATGATGATGATGAACGATGTCCAGAAAGCAAAGCAAAGAAGAAAATCATTTTCAGCGAATAAAGTGCAGGAGAAAAAGAAAAAGAAAAGAAATAAGGAAAAATGTTACAATCTTTGAAATGAAAAATGTGATAACAACAACAACAACAAAAGAAAAGAAAATTAAAAAACGCAAGGTGGCACATATGTCACACATCCGATAACATTCAAAATGTTTAATATTGGAAAAAACGAAATTTTCAAAAAATGTTTCCGAAAATATATTTTCGGAAACTTTTCTTTTCATTTTTTTTATAAATATTATTAAAAATCTATTAATATCCATAAAACATTGTTACAAATTATTGCAAAAAATTATTACAAATTGTCATTAATTTTTTCTTTCTTTCGTTTTAACTAATTATTTTGATTTTATATTTCTAGGTTTCATTACAAGTTGCCAATTTATTAAGATTATTCAAAATTCCACAGGTAAGTGAAAAAAATGGAAATTTGTAGGAAAAATTACTGAAAATTTGGTTATTATTACAATTTTTCTTCCCCCAAAAAATAGGTTAGCTACGCATCAACCGGTACATCATTAAGCGATAAAACACGTTATGATTTTTTTGCACGTACCGTACCACCTGATACTTATCAAGCATTAGCATTAGTTGATTTAGTATTAAAATTTAATTGGTCATATGTTAGTTTAGTTACATCTGAAGGACAATATGGTGATTCAGGTATGACCGCATTTGTACGTGAAGCTAAAAAACGTTCAATTTGTATTGCTGCAAATGAAAAAGTACCACAAAATGCTGATTCAATTTATTTTCAATCAATATTATATAATTTACGTACAAAACCAATGGCACGTGGTGTTGTATTATTTTTACGTGCTGAAGATAATCGTGGTTTATTGGAAGCAGCACAATCACTTAATTTTACTAATTATTTTACATTTGTTGCATCGGATGGTTGGGGTAAACAAGAACATTTAGTATTAGGTGTTGAACAAATTGCAGAAGGTGCTATTACTGTTGAATTAGCAACAACTGAAGTACAAGAATTTGATGAATATTTTGCTGATTTAACTATTGAAACTAATCAGTAAGTAAAAAATTTTTTTAAAATTCATATTACACAAGCAAACACACACACTAGATGAAAAAATGAATGAAAATATTCTTCATTTTTTCGAAAAATAAACAAATTTTTGTTCGTAAGCAATCATTGGACCTGAATGAAGAGATGTTTTTTTTCTTTTACAAATCCTTTTTATTATCATTATTAAATGATTGCTAATCGAGATGGTTTTTCCATTGAAGTTTGTTGATGAAAACAAAACAAAACAAACAAACAAATTTCCATAATTTCATAATTGTCTCCCTCTCTCGCTATTCCGTTATTAATTTATCAAATGAAAATAGTAATAATGAAATCAGATGTTCATTGAATCGTGAAACAATCATTTTTTTCAATTAAAATTTCAATTTTTTGTTTTGAATTTTTTTTTTCATACTAAATCTTTTTTCATTTTTTTCCACTCATTTACAAAATCAAAATCAAATTGATAATTTCCAAAGACGAAATCCATGGTTTAAAGAATATTGGCGTGATACATATGGTTGTCGTTTTGATGATGATCAATTTGAAAATTTATCAGTGCCTTTATGTTTACAACAATTACATACAACAACAACAACAAATACAAATACAAAAAAAACAACAAAAACATCAACAACAACAACAATGATTTATAAACAAGAATCTAAAGTACAATTTGTTGTTGATGCTGTTTATTCATTTGCATATGCATTACATAATGCATGGTTTGATTTATGTAAACCAGATGAAGGTTATTGTACAAAACTTAAAGAGCTTGATGGTGAAACATTTTATAAACATTATTTACTTAATGTTTCATTTATTGGTTTGTATTTTTTTTATTATTATTATTAAGAATTTTGTAAAGGATTATCTAACTAATCTTTTTTTACTGGGAATTCTACTTTGATTTTGTGTTTTGTTCTGTAAACAAAAGATTTGGCAGGTACTGAAATACGTTTCGATAAAAATGGTGATGGTCTTGGTCGTTATAATATTTATAATTTTCAATTAAATAATAGTCAACGCTCAACATTAAAAACAAATCAATATATTTATAAAAAAGTTGGTCAATGGAGTGATGCTGGTTTAGAATTATCACTTGATGAACTTGTATTTAGTATTACGCAAGATGATGATAATTTTCAAGATATACAAATCGATAGTATGGATGGTTTTACACGTATTGTACGTGTACCAGAATCAATTTGTTCAAAACCATGTAAAGTAGGACAAATAAAAATAGTACAACAAGGTGATCGTTGTTGTTGGATTTGTGCTGCATGTAAACCATATGAATATGTTTATAATGAATCAACATGTGAAGATTGTGGTGAAGGACGTTGGCCATATCCAGATAAACAAAATTGTTATGATTTAGAATTACGTTATATGAAATGGGCATCAATGTTTGCTATTGTGCCAATCATTATAGCACTTATTGGTCTTATATTAACATTTTTTGTCATTATGATATTTATTAAATATAGTGACACACCAATTGTTAAAGCATCCGGTAGAGAATTATCATTTATATTACTTGGTGGTATTATATTTTGTTATTTAAATACATTTATATTGATTGCTAAACCAACATTAATCACATGTGCCATACAACGTTTTGGGGTAAATATCTTATATATAACTTATATATCTTATATTTCTACATTTGTAAATCTATTATAATTTAATATTTATAAAAATAGGTTGGTTTTGGTTTTGCTATTATTTATGCAGCATTATTAACAAAAACTAATCGTATATCAAGAATATTTGATAGTGCTAGAAAAACCGTACGAAGACCGAGCTTTATTAGTCCAAAATCACAAGTTATTATTACTGGTTTTTTGGTTATGATACAGGTTGGATTTTTTTCTGTTTTTTTTGTTTCTAATCGATTAATTAATTAAATAAATTTTAAACATAGGTAATTGGTACAGGTGTTTGGTTTTTACTTGAACCACCCGGTATTCGTAAATATTATCCTGATGGTAAAAGATCTGAAGTAATACTTAAATGTCGTGTACGAGATTCAAGTTTTTTATTAAGTTTAATGTATAATATGTTTTTAATAACAACATGTACATTATATGCTGTTAAAACAAGAAAAATACCAGAAAATTTTAATGAATCAAAATTTATTGGTTTTACAATGTATACAACATGTATTATTTGGTTAGCATTTGTACCAATATATTTTGGTACTGGTAATAATTTTGAAGTAAGTAAAAAAAAATTTTTAATTATAATTTTTTAATTACTATTTTTAAAATAATAATTACAAATTATTTATAATCGATAATTAATTAATTAATTAATTAATTAATAGATTCAAATAACAACATTATGTGTTTCAATATCATTGAGTGCTTATGTAGCATTATTTTGCCTTTTTTCACCAAAATTATATATAATTATATTTCATCCGGATAAAAATGTTCGTAAATTAACAATGAATAGTGCAACATATAAAAAAACAGCATCATCAAGTGTTCCAACAACATCATCAAATCACGGTATTTATTGTATTTAAAAAAAAATTCTATATGTTTTTTTTAAATACTTTATTCTGGTTTTTATTTTATTTTTTTCTTCATTTTTGGAGACTAGAACATGTAAAATTAACCGTATCGGATGATAATCGTGTTTATGCTGCAACTGAAACAAGTACACGTTCAGTAACAGCAGCAGCAGCTGTTGCATCAGTTGCAACTGTTGTTAGTGTTTCAGCAGTTGATGTACTTGGTCCAGCAATAACTGCTGCAACAATGGCTGCTGCTGCTGCAACAAATGCTGATATTAATTTTAATAATGATGATAATTATGATGATGATTACGAGGATGATGATGATGATGATGTCGACGAGAATGATAATAATGAAGATAAAAATTATAAAAATAAAAATGTAATTAATAATAAATGCTGTAATAATAGTAAAAAATCATTATCATTATCATCATCATCATCATCAACATCATCATCATCATCATCATCAACATCATCACTAAAGAATAATGAACAAATAATAACTATGAAAACATCATCAACATCACCAATACGATCATCATCAATATTATCATGTCCAAAAATGACAACAACAACAGCAACAATTATTCAAACAAAAGATTTATCAACTGGTTTAACAAATGATCGACCACAACAGCTCAAACATCAAATCGTCCATCATCATCATCAACATCATCAACATCATCAACAACATCAACATCATCTTCATCAACAGCAACAACAACAAAAATCGAATATAATGTCCACAACGCCTAAATCATTATCACCAACTTCCATAATAAGTCCAACAATTGTTTCTATTGCACCAATATCAACAACAATAGCAACAATTTGTAGTAATCCATGTAATGAAGATGATGATGATGATCATCAAAATGATGGTCATTTATCACCACATCATCATCATCATCAAATACATCATGGTGGACATCATCAACCGCAATCGCAACCGCAACAACAACAACAAAACGCACAACATTATCATCAACAACAACATAGAAGATCATCAACATCATCAGCAACAACAACAATAACAACAACAACATCAGCAACTCAACAACAACAACAACAATCATCAAATCAACAACAGCAACAACAACAATCAAATAAAAATAATGTCAATAACAAAACATTAACATCATTATAATTAAATTTTGTAAAAAAAAACATTTTCCGAATTCCTTCCTTTTAAATTAACTGTAACTGTTCACAAACAAAGTTACAAATGTTTTTTTCCTAAAATCATCAATATTTGTCATTAACATCCAGATCTAATTGAATTAATCAATGTTGTTGTTGCTGTTACAAATGTAATTGTCCTTCACATTAGTAGAATTTTGTTGTTGTTGTTGTTGTTATTGCATCAATATATATTCAGAATTCTTATATCATTCTTTATCAGACCAACACAGTGATTCTTTTTATTTCTTAAACACACACACAGGTATCATCTTTTTTTAAAAAACAGTCCACATTTTTTTCATTTTAAGACAAAAACAAAATAATTTAACAATTAACTTATTCTCTCTCTCTCTCTCTCTCTCTCTCTCTCTCTCTCTCTCTCTCTTTATCTTGTCCAATTTCTTTTTTATCATCAATCAATCAATCAACCAACCAAACAAACAACCAATTATAAATGCAATAAAACAGTAATGAATCCAGATTACAAAAATTGATGTAAAAGAAACTTTTTACTTTTTTCCTTTTTGTTATATAATAATAATATTATAAAACATTTTTGGATCATTCATTACAAAAAACATTGTAATGTTTTTAATATTGATTAATATTATCATTGTAATTTTTCTTATTACATTATTATTATTGTTGTAAACAAATTTGCACACACACACACACACATTATAAACAGGTTAATTATTTAATTTTCATTCATTTAATAATTATAAAAAATTAAAAATAATAATGAAAAATTTCCATGAAAATAAATTCATTTTTTTCAAAAAAAAAAAAAAAAAATTTCGAATCATTTGGGCTATTAGAGTGAAAATAGTCGACAAGAATTTTTCTTCTGTTTGTTTGTTTGTTGCTCAGTTTTTGGCATGCGCTTCTTCAACAAAAAAAAAAATTGTACACGTAGATTTTCGGATCATCGGCATTCATTCCGGCCAAAAGAAACGCACACGCGGATTATTGAATCAATTTTACTGCATTTTATTTACTGAATTATTTTTACAATTATTATTTACAATTTACAATGTATCAATCAACAAATATTCCAATTACAATCACCATATTTGGTTTAAGTTTATTATCATCAACAGTTTTGGCTGATGTTTGTCAAGCAACGGCAAAAAGTTATACAGCAAATGATGGTTTAGTATTGGTCAGTACTGGACATGTTATACAATTTCAAACAAATTGTCCGAAAGATGGTAAATTGAATTTTTTTACTTAGTTTTATTTTAAACAAAAACTTTTAACTTTTAATGATAAAATTTCACTTTTTTTCAATTTAGTAATTCCTTCATATGCAATTTTGAATGGTCAAACATTATCGATTGCACAGATAGATGATGCCGGTTCATATCAGGTAATTTATTTCATTTAATCATTTGAATCACTGAAAATCATCTTTATTTTTTTTCTGAACAAAATTTAGATTTCATGGACAAATGATCTATCATTATCATCATCTGGTAGTTATGATATACCTGTTTATGATGAAAATGGTTATCAACAATATCGTAAAACCCAACAACAACGTTCATCTGATAATATACGTCCATTATTTATATTACCATTTAGACATCAATCACCATATAATGGACCAATTGTTCGTACTGAATTTGCTGTACTAATGATAACATTATTTTTATCATATTATGCTATTACATTACGTTTTAAAATTATGAACAAAAAAATCTAAAAAACAAAAACAAAAACAAACAAAACAAAATTGATTATCTATTGATAATCTCTTTTTTTTATAAAGGCAGAAACATTGGATTAAATTTTCATTTTATTTTAACCATTCGAATGCTTATGAATAATGATAGTGGAATTTGAAATTTTTTTCTTTAAAAATGTCATTTTTTTCAAAACAAATCCATACTGTAAGTATATCCAAAACAAAAAAAAAGGAATTTTGTTTTCCAGATTTTTTTTTAACGTTTTTTCCATGTATATTTTCGTCGAGCACCTTCTTGTCCCCAAAGTTTTCTATTTTTTACACGTATATCATTGGATAAAAGACCAGCTAATCGCATTTTTTCCAATATATCTTTATCAACAAAACTTCTTAATGCTAATGATAATGCATAACGTATAGCACCAGATTGACTAGATGTTCCTAATTCACGAACATCATATAAAAATGGTGGTGAATCTTCACTATATTCACGTGTATATTCTAAATGTGTTGTACGACATTCAATATCAACTTTACCAAGTAGACCACAAAATTTTAATGGTGTCATTACTTGTTCCCTTGTTTCATTAAATAATTCATTTTAAAAAATTATGATTTTTTTCAAAAAAAATTCTTACCGATCTTGTATGAAATCAAAATAAAGAATATCCTGACCATTAATATCAACTTTTCCAGTACCATTACCACGAACAGTAACATTTGCAACACAAAGTTTACGACGACCAATTGCATTCATATATGGTCGACCATCTTGATCATACATCAACGGTGGTATTTCCATAATTTCAACAGCAGCTTTAATTTCTTTACGAAATTTCATTAAAAAATCTTGACATAATTTTGAATATGGTTGATTGGCTAAACTTTCCAATGCTATAATTAAAGCTTCATATTTTGAATCTTCAAGTTTTTCTAAAAACATTGTTTTCATTTCATTTACTGATAACCATTCAGAAGATTTCAAGTCTCTGTTATACAAATCAAACAAAAAAACAATCATAATTTTATGAATGAAAAGAAAATTAAAATACATACACTTTAGAATCATTTGGTGGATCAATAATACCGGTACGAAGTTGATTATCTTCATAATCTTTAAGACGATTCATTTGTTCTTCAATATCCTGAATTTTTTTTTGTGGGAAAAAACGGTTTAATTTGATTCAAATTGAATGTTATTTCACTTACAAAACAAGTTTGATAAAAATTAGCACGACTAGTATAGAATAATGAATGATAAGGACGACCATCGGCACTAAATTGTGCCTGTTTAATTGTAGGAAAGATTTCTTTTGGTGGTTTCATTCGTGGTCGTGCACGTGGATCAAATAAACCAGATGGCATTAAATATTTAATTGCATCCTATTTTGGAAAAAAATTGATGATTTAATTCAAATCATCCAAATAGCGTAAATCAAACTTACATCAATATCATTTTGATTCAATGAATCAATCTGTAAACCCATCATATTGGCCAAATGACGTCGACCACTTTCAAATTCATGTTCTTGTTCTTGTATAAATTCACCATGTTGGCGAGCACGTTCCAAATATACTTTCATTGCTTTTGAAATAGCACCACGTTTTTGTTCAACATTATCCATATCAAAATCTGGATTCGATATTAATTGTGGTTGTTGTTGTTGTTTTAGATTTAAATAAGTAATACCAAATTTTGTATTTGATGGTAAACGTGGATCATTTGGTCGTTTTTGATATGATGATCTACCATACATAACACAACGATGTACTAATTCACTATTTGTAATATATTTATTATATAATTGATTTGTATGTAATGATTTTTTTATAATCCAATTTATAATTGGAAATTTTGATGCTTGGCTAATTTTTGGAGACATTTTTCTTTTGACTCCTTATAATGGTAAATTCGAAATCCGAAAAGAAATTCTCATTACAAAAAGCCAAACAAAACATGTGATTTCATTGAAAAAAACCAAATTTATACAATGCAAGTATATTATGATCAGGTATATTGATCATGAGCATAGAATCCATATGGATTGTAAATGCAATCGAATCCTGTATACAATACAAAAATGAGCAACACGTGATTTAATCATGACTCAATTAAATTCTATTGAAAATATTGAACTTTGTGATGTAAAAAAAAGAAATAAAAATCTTGAAAAATCTAAAATGAAACATTCCTCATACAAATAAACCCAGGTAAGTTTTAACACTTGTTCAAAATAAACGCAACAAAACACCTTGACAACCTTCGAACATTTTTTTTTAAACAAAATTTTTATTGAAAAGCAACCACATTTATGTATTTTTTCTTTTTTTCCTAAAATCAATTTTGATTCAATGACACATTTATGTTATCAATCAATCAGTGAGGGAGGGATCTCAACCAAAAATCCATCCATTTTGCATTTCTTGCATCCACAATCGTTTGATGATAATTTTTTTTTTTTGGTTGAACTCTTTTCTTTTTTGGTGTGTTTCTTCTTTGGGTTTCACTCGAGGATTATCATATACCAAACACAGATATTTTAGCATTTTTTAAATTAAATTTTGTAAAAAGTTTTTTATTTTCTCTAGTAAAACTTTAAAAAAATGGCTTTAGTCGAATTTGTTGGTCAAGTGGCAACTATAATTACACTTTTTTCATTTTTAACCGGAATGTAAGTAATTTTATTTTTAATTTAAAATGAATTACAAATCGCATTACAAATCACATTACAAATTATAGTCCAATATGTCGAAATATTCAATTATCTGGTTCGACTGATAAATTTTCTTCGTTACCATTCCTTGTTGGAAATGTTTGGTAATTTTTTAATGTTTTTTTTTGGTTTGTTTGTAAAAAATTATAATCATTTCATTTAATTAGTGGTTATCTATGGCTTCGTTATGGTTTAATGTTAGGTGATCCAACAATGACTTTTGTTAATATTGTCGGTTTTACATTACAATCATTATATCTAATTTGGTTTTATATTTATACATTTCCAAAGGTTTGTTTCCATTCTGCTTTACAAATTCTGTTTTACAAATTAAATTTAAAAAAATATTTTTAGAGCAAAATTAATCGTGCAATTATTGCTGTACTTTCGATGTTATTATTTGTACATTTATATATTAAATATACAAATGAACCAGAATATTTTGTCGGTTTAATGGCATGTTTATCATCATTATTTTTTTCCATATCACCAATGCCATTAGTATTCGAAGTAATACGTACAAAATGTACTGAACAATTACCATTCAGTTTAATAGCATCATCATTTTTGGTTACATTATTATGGTTTATATATGGTTCATTGATTGGTGATGCATTTGTTCAAATACCAAATGGTTTAGGTGCATGTATTTATGGTGTACAATTAAGTTTATTTACTATATATCCATCTAAACGTAATATACAGGTATGTTTAGATTATTATTTTTTTTTTAAATCCAAAAAAATTCAATTCAAATCCAATTCCATTTATATCCTGACTAACACTTATTCAAAAGGGTTACAAATTTAGAAAGTAAAACTTTTAACACTTATAGTTTATTAGCCATTACAAATAGGAAATTCCTTTTGCCCTAAAAATCTTGAATTGATTTTTGTTTGTTTGTTTTCTTAGTTTTTTTTTTTGGTTAATTTGTTACATTCTTTTTTTTTCTTAGTGATTTTTTTTTCTCATTTCTTTCAAATGTGGACTACCACTGTAAAATCATTTTATCATGGAAAACGAATTCGACAGCAGGCAATATACAATTATTATCGATTTCTATTGTTGTTTTTTCTCTTAAGTTTACTACCAAATTGATTTACAATAAAGATAAATTTTAGATTGATTTTTTACATAATCTCCATTTGTTTATTAATCATTTTCATTCCAATTTTTTTTCTTTTCCCCTTTTTCCACCCATTTTGAATAATGAAATTTTTTTTTCTCTATATATAGATTTTATCATATAGTTTAAAACAAACGGAAAAATTATTAATAACAAATGTTTCACCAATGATCGAAATGAACATTTGATTTGAATAACATAACATAACGAACGAACGAACGAACCGGTTATCTTTCCTACTAATATGTTTTTTTTTTGTGTGATACATGAAATCTATTGATTTCATTTCATTATTTTTGATACACAACTTTAATCCGATACGACCTCATTATCAATCAATTATAAATTTTTTTTTTATAAAATCGTTGTTTTTTTTTTTGTAATTTTAAAATTATTTTATTTATTCAATGTTGTTGATCTCAAATTTTATTATTATTTTTATTTTGATTCAATAAAAAACAAATTTTTACAACAATATTTATGAATGAATAATCGATTGATCTAAATCGTTTGTATTAAAACCTAATGCCGATAATAATGGTATGAATGGTGTTGAATATTGTTGTTGTTGTTGTATTTGTTGTTGTTCATCATTATCCTTCATTATATTTTTTCGACATTCTTGATCATCATTAACACCAACGTCGTCATTATGATCATCACCATGATTATCAACTTTAAGCAAATTTTTTTCAACATTTTTTGTTGATTCATCATTTTGTTGCGATTGCTGCTGCGATTGCTTATGATCAAGATTAATTAATTTTAAAATTTTTGATAAATTTTCATCATCATTACCATCCGTTTCTGATTGATGATCAATCGAACAACAACTATTATTGTCGATCGATATATTTGTTGATTGATGATTATTTATCGATATTTCGGATGAAATTGTTGTCGATTTTTCAATTTTACAATTACTTTTGGTTGTTGTTGTTGTTGAAATTGTTGTATCAGGATTATTATTATTATTATTCTTCGATCGTATTATTAATGAACGATTTGATAAACGATTTTTATTTGAACAAAGTAATAAATCTAAATAATATGTTGATTCATTTGTTTCATCATTATCATTTGTTGTTAATATTAAATCATCAATAATTTTTGTTACTTGTGCATCAAAATTTTCAAATACAATTTCACTTAATGTACCACAGGATTTTCTAACAAAATCATACCATAATTGTAATTCGATTGGATTTTTTACATCTGTTTTAGATAATTGTTTTTTTGTTGTTGTTGTTGATAATTGTAATTTATTTTTAATTACTTTATCACATAATTGATATATTTGTTCAGTTGCTTTACATTGATTATAATATTCAAGAATCTAGTTTGAAAAAAATAAGATAATTAGCTAATTAGTTTTTTGCTTTTTTCGGGACACTTACCTGAACCATAATTGGACGTTTTGATTTAATTTTATGTGCACATCTTCTACCCAGTTCTAAAAGATAATTAAATAAATATTGTCCTTCATTTTGATTAACAATACGTTTATCCATTAAAAATTTTAATTGATTTTCATTAAATGAATCTTGTTTTTGATTTAAATTATTACAATTATCCAATTTTATTGATTGTATTTGTAATGTTTGATTCTGTACTTTACTATATTCATCTTCAACAGAATTTATAAGTAATTTTTTACCATCATATGCACGTCTACCGGTTGCCATTTCTAATATAACAATACCATAACTATAAACATCAACAGCTGGACTAAGAATTTTTTGTCGTAAATATTCAGCTGGTAAATAAACACTTGTTCCATTTACTGAACTAACTGTACAATGTGTATAAATGGAATTTTCATTACGATTATTTTTAGCCACTTGCCTAGCTAAACCAAAATCACCAAGTTTTGGTTCAAATATTTGATCCAATAATATATTTGCACTTTTAACATCACCATGTACAAATGGATTACCTTTTAATGTATGTAAAAAATTTAATGCACGTGCAATACCTTCACCAATTCTTGAACGTTGTAACCATGTTAATGGTTTTGTATTATCTTTACAAAGTAAACGATCTTCTAATGAACCATTTGACATATATTGATATATAAGACATGGTTCAGGACCATCTAATGATACAGCATATAATGGTAATATATTATCAATACGACAACAATTTAATATTCGTAATTCGGTTAATGCTTGTGTTCTATTGAATTTTAAAAAAAATTATAAATTTATAAAATCAATTTTTACAAAATAATAATTAATAATAAAAATTAAATTACATACAAATTATCTAATCCTTTTAATTTTTTTATTGCAACTTTAGTACCTTTCCAATCACCAATATAAACGGTACCAAATCCACCACTACCAAGTATATTATCATTTGAAAAATCATCAGTTGCAATTACTAATTCTTTATAAGTAATTTTAAAATCATCAATTTTCAATAGATATTCATTTTCATTTGATTTTATCTGATTATCATTATTATTATTATTATTATTTGATTCAGGTTTTTTTGTATTATTATTTTGTAAATCGATTAATGTTTGTTCTTCATCCATTTGTATACCATTATTGTTATTTGGATTATTTTTAAATCGATTTTGGTGATTTTGATTTGGATAAAATTTTGAATTTTCCCCTACAAAACCTTTCATCGTTGATTGTTTAATATTTTTGTTCAACAATGCGGTTGACGATGATGATTGATTATTTAATTTTGAACGATTATATTCTTGATGATCAAATGATTGATAATTAACATCATCGTTATTATCAGTATTTTCATTGTTATTATTATTATTAGTTGTTTCATACATTAAACGTAATTTTTGATCAACAAATGGTAATAAATATTTAAGTGAACGATGATGTTTCATTTGTGCTAAATAAATAAATAAATGTTTAATTTTAGCATTACTTGATTCCCATTTGGTTAATAATTCATTTGTTGGTGATGCACTACGATATAATGCATGTGATATTAATGTTAATTGTGTATCATTAAAACCCATATAACGTCCACCAAGTTCACGCCATGAATTATCAGCATCTATAATTATTTTTATAAAAAAAACATCATTATAAAAGTTTTATAAATGTAAAAACATCTTTGATTTTATAAATACCAAGAAGATCACAAATTGATTTACGAATATTATATGGTAATTCATATACATATAAAACTTGTGAACGATTTGAAATATTTTGACTTTGATATCCAACACCACCATAATTAGAATTTGCTGTTTGTGTAGAAGAATAAAGCATTGGTGGTGGTGGCGGTGTTGATGGTTGAATGAATGTTTCTTTCGGATTTGGAGCCGATGGAATTATCGGTGTTAAATGTTGTGGTGATTGAAAAAATGTTGTTGTTGGTAAATGTTGATTCGGTAATTGATAATGTTGATGATGATGATGTGGAAGTGGATGATGCAATGGATGATAATAATTTTGATGTGCATCAACACCCATATCGTATGATGGTAAAATTGGTGATTTTGGTGATGATGATGATGATGATGATGATGGCCAATTACGTTGTTGATTCGATAAAGATTCAATCATAAATGTTCCTGTTGCTGATGTTGTTGATGATGATTGTTGTTGCTGTAATGATGATGGTATGGTTGTGGTTATAATTTCTAAACCATTTATGGGCATTTTTCTTTTAGATGATGATGATGATGATGATGATGTACCTGTTGATGTAATTTTTATTGTAGATGTATTATTATTATCGATCATATTGTTATTATTCTGTTGTTGTTGTTGTTGTTGTTGATTATTATTATCATTTATGGTCGAATGATTATTTGTATTTATATTCATATTTGACATAATTACTATTGGATAATTAATTAACGTTTAAAAAAAATTAGCTAATTACCAGAATTTTCATTCATTCATTCAATGAAACAGCAGTACAAACAAGAAAATCTATGAGATGCACATATACAAACAGCGAATTAGCTGAACTAGTTGTGAATGCAAAGTAGAGAGAGAGAGAGAGAGAGAGAGAGAGAGGAAAAACCCAATGAATGATATTATCAACATCGGTATGTAGCTTTAATTTATTTGATTTTGATGTAAGTTTTTCCAATTCAAAAAGGTGTGATTTTTGATTAGGTAAACAATTTTTACATGAGGAAAGCACAATATGAATGTTTGGGATGTGAATGTTTTGGGATGTGAATGTTTGGAGAATCAAATTGAGTGAATCGCCATTATTATCATAATCGTCGTCGTCATTATTTTTTGACGATAATAAACACTTGTTGATATATGTTGGCCGAATAAAAAAAGAAGAAAAAGAAAATTCTCATTCAGTCACCAATAGATGGCGCTACTAGCATTTCATTTTTTTTAAAAAATTGATTTTGGAATTTCGCTTTTTGCTTGGTTTTTTACTTGGAAAAAAATTACAATTTTTAAATTTTTTTTTTAAAATTCAATTTATTTATGACTGCATACAATCAATCAATCAATCACAATTCAATAAAAGAAAATACAAAAATCAAATTTTCAAATTTACAAATCATCAAACAAGCAAATCCACAACCAAAAAATAAAGAAAGGAAGAAATTAACACAAAATAACCACAAAATGAATGAATTGAAACTTTTGTTTTTCCCAATACGTAGGCCATCGATCGATTTCATTTCGTTTTCAATTTTTTGTTTCCGTTTATCACAATCCAATTGTCGAACAATAGCTGAACAACAGCAATCCAGAAAATCCAAAAATAAAACAATAAAACAAAGAAACAAATTTTTTAATCCTCTGCTGTTTCATCTGATTCTTCAATCGAATCTTTACGTGTACGTGGTTTAGGTTTTAAATTTTCTAATTTTTTTTTCTGTTCCGAATTACGTAATTTTTCACTAATTTTTCTTGAATGACCATTTGGATCAAAACGATTTGTATGTTGTTCGGCTTCTTTTTTTGTACGTTGTTTACCACTTTGTGATGAAAACATATGTTTATCATGTTCAAACATATAATAATCCATAACGGTTGGATCTTCAAGTGATGACATTTTTTATTTCTGGGAAATTTTATCGAATTGGTTTCAGCAAAAAAAAGAAAATATCAGGACGGAAAATACAAACATAAAATACTGTCGGGAAATTTTCAAATGAAACAAAAAACAAAATTTAAACGATTTTGGCGAAAAAAATGGCGAATTGTTTTGCTAAAAAAATAACAAGTGAGAGAGATGATTGTATCCTTGTATTCCATTCCATCTATTTATATATGATATTCCTATTCAACAACAACAACAACAAGTTTCACTTATGACTTTTTCTGTTTTCTCTGTTGTCAAATGTTGACGCCCGTAAAAGAAAGAAAGAAAAAAAAACGAAAAAATTCCATTGAAAATACATAGGCAGCCTTCATGGCAGCCAAAATTATTTATTTGTTTTTCTTTCGTTCTTTCTTTCGTTCATAAATACTGATTGTGTACATGTACATCGGTTGTTGATTGATATTTGTTGTTGATTTGATTCAAGTGGATTAGCGATCAAGAGAGAGAGAGAGAGAGAGAGAGAGAGAGAGAGAGAGAGAGTG